GGAGGAAGACTCAGTAACAACCTGTAATAATGTAGATGATACAACCTTGTTTGTTGAAAGTGAGGAGGAATTCAAATACTTACTGATAAAAATTAATGATTACAGCCTTCGGTATGGGTTGCACCTCAATTTAAAGAAAACCAAAGTCCTCACCACTAAGCCAATAAAGAACATCCATATAAATGGGGAAAAGATTGAATTGTCAACGACTTCATTTCCCTTGGATCAGCCACTGACATTTACGGACACAGCAGTCAACAAATCAAACAACCTACTGTGTTAGGCAAATCTGTTACACAAGAGCTCTTTAAAGAGTCAAAGAGCAAAGATGTCAGTCTGAGGACTAAGGTTTGCCTGACACAAAGGAAGATATTTTCAATAACTTCATATGCATGTGAAAGTTGGACAGTGAATAAAGGAAACCATAGAAGAATTGATGCATTTGAGTTATGGTGTTGGAGAATATTAAAAGTACCATGGACTGCCAAAAAAACAAACATATCTGTATTGGAAGAAGTACAGCCAGAATGTTCCTTGGAAGCCAGGATGGCCAGACTTCGCCTCTCATACTTCAGACCATGTTGTCAGGAGGAACTAGTCCCTGGAGAAGGATATCATGTTGGGTAAAGTATAGGGTAGGAGAAAAAGAGAAAGACCCCCAACTAGATAGACTGGAACAGTGTCAGCAGCAGTGGGCTCAAATGTAGCAACAATTGTGAGATTGGCACAGGACCAGGCAGTGTTTCGTTATTTTGTGCATAGGGTCACTATGAGTCGGTACCGACTTGATGACACCTAATAACAACAAGTGATGCTGAGTCGCTTCCAACTCATAGCAACCCTGTGTAGGGTTTGCAAGGAGTGGCTGGTGATTTTGAACTGCTGATCTTGAGGTTAAAATTGTCCTTGTGGTCCAGTGCTTACTGTACAGCATCACACTAGGATGCTGTAAGATTATCAGTGACTTGGAAACTTCTTCTACTGTTACCAATAGAATAGAACAAGTAGCAACAATTTCAAAAGCCTCACAGTTTCGCTGTCTCTACTACTGCAAGGGTGCTTGATGCATATACATCTGTGCTACTTCAATGGAATGTCAACAGTTATGGATATGAATTTATTGACACTGCATGTGCATTATACCCTTTAGGAATCAACGTAAAATCTAGCTGCCCAACAACCTGCAGAATGTAATGACTGTCTAACTTGAATAATGTCTGCCCTATAGGTAGCGTAGTGGTTATGAATCGGGCTGTGAATCTTAAGGTCAGCGGTTTGAAACTACCAGCTGCTCCGCGGGAGAAAGATGAGATTTTCTACTCCCATAAAGATTTACACCCTCGGAAACCCTATACAGGGTCGCTATAGGTCGGAACCGACTCGATGGCACATAACAACAACAACATACATGTTAAGTGGCTTAAAGCCCATTTGAGCTTATCATTTTGCCAACGCTCTTCCTTATTGATTTTGGTAACACTGTTGTACCTTGCAGCTCTTTGTTCAGTAGCCTCAGTAATGGGTTGGGTTGGGGCACTTGTTTTTTCATTTATGCTCAATTTCTTTCTGACCTGAGGTTCTGCATAGTCTTCCTGGTTCTTGGGTCCCTAGGTTCGAATACTGAAACCTGTCCACTGCCTGAAGCAGAGCTGGCCTTGGTGGTAGTTGGTGGTTATATGCTGTGGAGTTGGTTCCAACTAATAGTGACTCTGTATGTGGCACTGTCAGCTAATGTGCTGGACTGCAACATCAGTTTGAACTACAAGGTCAGTGGTAAAAGCTCACCAGCTGCTCTTCGGATACCCTATACAGGGTCACTGTGGGTTGGAACCAACTAACAACAACAATATAGGGTTTCTGAGGCTGTAAATCTTTATGGGAGCATCAGCAGGAAAAATCCAAAACAAAAATGGCAATCAGATTGGCAACTACAAGAACAAGCAAGTTGTTCCCTGAGGAGCTATCAGAGCAAGCAGTCAAGACCCTTCAGGACAAACCCCTCTCCAAGATTGAAACTCAAAGAGAACACATAAGCAGGCATGTAAGCTTGCTGGCAACCATGTTGGTCTACTGGTGAGTGGAAGAGGGGGAAAGGCAGCAGTGAACAAATGGGCTGAGTTCAACAATGTTCCATAGACTCCCAATGACCTGGACATGAGAGAGAGAAGAGGAAGGGCTGGTTGGTCTGAAGTGTGCTGAGACCTGGGAACACCTGAGCCCATGGACAAGGACATAGCCACAGAGGGTTAGAGCTGAGAGTGAACCATCCAGCTAATATTAAGTGAGGGGAGACACACAAGATTGCATTATCAGTAACACAGAAAGATCTTCAGTCAGATGAGGCCAATATACTAATGACTAATTCTAAAATTAGTTTTGCAAAAATAAAACTCAAATAAACAAACAAACAAAAACTCCCCAAGTTGTGCAAACAGAGAAATTTGGAGGGTGAGGTACAGTATGAACAAGATATGAAAGAATCTGAGAGACATGGAATATAACCAACGTCCTGAAGGCATTGCCATTTGAGGGCAGCGGAGTGAAGAAACATCACCCAGCCTGCCCCTGCACTCCCTTCTCCTCCCTGCCTCCCAGGTAATGATGGAACATGACAAAGCTGAGGGAACTGCCGCAGCAGCAGCAACCGAAAGAGGTAAACGTAACACAGAAAAACCTAGGCTGTTCCAAGAACCATGGACCCCGTCCGCCTGGTTTTTAAGTTCTCTCCCCTGCCACTAACTAACGTCGTCTTTGGGCAAGTCCTCAAACCTCAGGACTCAGTGCCTCAGTCTCACGTACAAAACAAACATAATGCTAATATTTTTTCATCTGCTTGCTGTCGGAATTCAGTTAAATAATGTGGTTAGAGCAACGGGCATAATATCTGAGAGAGTAAGTATTTAGTAAATGTCTTTAATTAATACTGAGACACATGCCTCTGTACTCTTCCCTACTTGTACAAATGCCTAACCGAGTGTCTTGCCAGTGTTAGGTATTTAGTAACTATTACTTTTCCTCTCCATTAAGAGCAGAAGCCTGCCTGGACCTGTCACTTCACCCATGATTGCTAAAAGTATAATGATTCTCTCACTAAGAAATCTGTGGCTAACAATGAAAAAGTATAAATGCGCACTGTCATGTAGAAATGAAAATGTTTGGGTTAGTGGTAGAATTATGCTTCATTCTCTTGAAATTGTTTTTATTGGTGGTGAAACATGTTTGGAAAACAAAGGAATTGCTTTAAAAAAGAAAACTTAGCCAAACATTTGTGATGGTGTTTCTAAAAGCTCATGGAACAATTCCACTATCTTTTAACTCCATTTTTCATGAACTTTTGAAACCCTCTTGTATATCCACTTAACAGAAAAACAAAATACAAAAAACACACCACCAATCCTGTTCTTTTGCTCGATGGGAGACAGAATTATGATCCCCCAAAGATTCCTACATCCCCAGCTGTGACATGATTAAGTGAAAGCCTTTGTAATGGTGACATTATCCTGGAGTACCCAAGTGGATTCACTATAATCACAAGGGTCCTTAAAAATGGAAGAGAGCAGCAGAAAAATGTGATCAGTGGAAAATGTAACCACATAAGAGAGGCACAGAAAGATGTAGCACTGCTGGCTTTGACGATGGAGGAAGGGGTCATGAGCCAAAGAATCTGGGTGTTTCTAAAAGACAAGGAAACAGACTCTCCCCTAGAGCCTCCAGAAAAGAATGCAGCCCTACGGGTACACTTCAGTCTACTGAGACTCATGTTACTACTCTTAAAGAACTGTAATATCAAAATTTTGAATTGCTTAAAAGCCATAAGATTTGTTGTAATTTATTAGAACAGCAAATAGAAAACTAAGACAGTTTCAAAGATGATCCAATCAAGCTTGGTCTGCTTCAATGCACAATAAAATAAGTAAGGTCACCAGGGTGGAAACGAACAATTCCCCTGGTGTCACTCAGTTACCAGTCCAGCTTTTGGTTATTTACTCCTTCTTCGTTTAACTCTTATAAGCACTGAACTTCTAATTCAAAGGTCAGCAGTTCAAATCAAATCAGAAACAGGGTGGCTATCTGTCAGAGTCAACTCAACGGCATCCAACAACATACATATATGGAGTCCTTGTATGGGAATGTAGGATAAGCACTGGACTGCTCTGAACCACAAGGTCAGAGGTTCAAACTCACCAGGTGCTCCTTAGAAAACCCATACAGGGTCTCTATGAGTCAGAACGGACTCCATGGCACTTAAAAACAATAACAACAATAAAGATACATATATGAAGTCCTGGTGTGGTACCTCAATGCACTGAACAACAACAATAAATATATGGATGTTGCTGCTAAGTGCCCTGAAGTTGGTTCCAACTCATAGCTACTCTGCATAGAGTTTCTGAGGCTTTAAATCTTCACAGAAGCAGAAAGCACATTTTTCTCCCTCTGTGTAGCTGGTGGGACATTGTGGTTACCATGTTCCCAAGCTGCTCCTTGGAAACCCTATACAGGGTCGCTGTAGGTCAGACCCGACTCGACAGCACTAACAACAACAACATATATATATATATATGTTGTTTGTTGTTGTTGTTGTGGTTATGTGCCATGGAGTCGGTTCCGACTCACAGCAACCCTGTGCAGGGTTTCCAAGGCTGTAAACCTTTACGGAAGCAGAAAGCCTCATCTTTCTCCCACAGAACAGCTGGTAGTTTCGAACTGCTGACCTTACAGTTCACAGCCCAATTTGTAACAACTACGCTACCAGAGCTCCTTATGGCAAGGGTAATAGGTTGGAAATGGCCCAGAAGACATAATTTTTCCATGTTTACATTTCAAACTAGTTATAGAATAAAACCAGATTAAACTGTTCTCTCCTATGTGGCCAATGCTTCAGAGCTCTGGAAAAGGTAAAAGAGAATCCTGGCATGCTATAGATTGCCTGGGAAAACACTCCCTCACCTCCCAACCCCCTGAGCCAGAACCCATCTTAGGCTCCCCATCTGTCTCACCTGTTTCTTTCTGCGGTGGTGATGTGCTAGTCCAGGGTGTGTCGTCTTCAAATTGAACCCAGTTGCTGATGGCCGAGGCCAGGTCAGGAGTGGGCTGCTCAGGGCTCCCAGGAGGGGAGGCTGCTTGAGAGATGAGGCCTATCTTTTCTGCGGAGTCATCCTGCTCTGAAGGGGAAAGGTCCTGGGAGCCTCCATCCACAACCTGGTTCTCCCCGGAGGAACTCTCCGACTGGTCTGAGGAAGATGACAATCCTGGGAGGTGCTCCTCGGTACCCCCTGAAACAGATTATAGAAAGCACCATGGTGATGAAGAAGGCTGATTTATGGGAGGAAAAAGCCAAGGATAGAGAAAGGGTGACTGTGGGGCTCACCATTACAGTGGGTCAGAAGAGGAAAGAGCCTGCCAATCTCAGCTCTCTACTAAATGATCGCTTTCCTTATAATATATAAAAATATAACCTTAGCATATTCCTAAGTCTTTATCTAGGCAGTCTGAGGCTAAGATTATTATTCACCATGTAAACCACTGCCTTAGGGCCAAAAATGAAAATGCCTAGAAAGACTAAGCAAGAAATATAACCAAGGAGAGTAGAACTAGCGAAAGGCCATCGATAGTGGTGGACAATGTGACTGAGCAGGAGAGCTTCTATCTGGACTAAATTCAAATGTGAACTCCATACAATCCAAACTATAGGAGTCTACAAGCCAATAGATTGCACAATCTCAGCACTAATGACTAAATGTGAGATGCAAGCTCTTCCTGTAGCTTTGTATCTCTTTCCTGGTCTGGAAGACATAGAACCATGGTAGTGGTGGTGGTGGTGGTGTGCCGTAGAGGTGGTTCCGACTCAGAGCAACACTGGATAGGATTTCCAAAGCTGTAATAATTACTGGAGCAGAATACCTCACCCTTCTTCTAAGAAATGTCTAGTAGATTTGAAATGCTGACCTTGTGGTTAGCAGTTCAGCTCATAATCCACTACTCTATCAGGGGTCCTTAACCTTAAACAGCATTTATAAAAAATGTAAAATAAAAATGTAAGAACGATATCCTGATTGTGGTGGTGGTTACACATGTCTATTGTTGTTGTTGTTGTTGTCAGGTGTCATCAAGTCGATTCTGACTCATAATAACTCAACACTATACAAGTACTTCATGAGCACAATAAGGTGTTCTGGAATACTCATTCTTTACCGTGTTACCCAAAGTTTGTTATGATCCACCAAGTATAAAACCACTGCAGTCATTAAAACACAAATACACATATTTCTGGTATTCTCTGCTTTTAGACAAAATCCATATGACATCAGCAACAATATCCCTTGTTCTACATCCTCTTCTGAATCCAGCTTGATTTTCTGGAATTTCCTAGTCAATACACTGTTACAACCATTTTTTATTTATCTTTAGCAAAATTTTACTTGCATGTGATATTAATGATGTTGTTCAAGGATTTTCACATTCTGTTGGGTCACCTCGGTTTGGAATGTGCACAAATATAGATCTCTTACAATCACTTGGTCAGGTAGCTGTCTTCAAATTTCCAAGCACAGAGGAGTGAGCGTTTGCAGTGTTTTGTTTTGCAACTTGAACTTCTTCCTTAGGTACCATCAATTCTTGATCATATGCTACCTCACGAAATGGTTGAACATTAACCGTTTCTTTCTGGTAAACTGAGTATGTGTATTCCTTTCATCTCCTTTTGTACTTTCTGCATCATTCAATATTTTGTCCATGTTGTTGGTAAGTGCCGTCAAGTCAGTTCTGACTCATAGTGACCCTGTATAGGGTTTCCAAGGAGCAGCTGGGGGGCTTGAACTGCTGACCTTGTGGTTCACAGTTCAGTGCTGATCCACAGCGCCACACCAGAAGTCCATTTTGCTGATTGTTGTTGTTGTTATGTGCAGTGGAGTCGGTTCTGACTCATGGCGACCCGGTACAGGGTTTCCGAGGCTGTAAATCTTTATGGGAGCAGAAAGCCTCATCTTTCTTCCGTGGAACTGCTGGTAGTTTCGAACTGCTGTCCTTGCGGCTCGCAGCCCGATTCATAACCACTACGCTACCAGAGTTCCTTGTTGTTGTTGTTGTTGTTAAGTGCCGTCGAGTCGGTTCCGACCCATAGCGACCCTGTACAGGGTTTCCGAGGGTGTAAATCTTTATGGGAGTAGAAAGCCTCATCTTTCTCCCGCGGAGCGGCTGGTAGTTTCGAACCGCTGACCTTAAGGTTCGCAGCCCAATTCGTAACCACTACGCTACCAGAGCTCCTTACAAGCTTTCAATATTGCAAATCAAAGCTTGAATTATTTCTTCACTTTTCAGCTTGAAAAATGCTTACTGTGGTCTTCCCTTCTGGTTTTTTGACTCCTGGTCTTTGAACATTTCATTACAATGTTTGACTTTGTCTTACTGAGCTGTCCTTTGACATTTTCTGTTCAGGTTTTTTAACTTCCTCATTTTTTCCAGTCACATTAGCATGTCTCTGCTGGATGGCAATTTTCAGAGTCTCTTCTGACATCCATTTTGGTCTTTTCTTTCTTTCCTGTCTTTCTTAATGACCTTTTGCTTTCTTCCTATATGATGATCGTGATGTCATCCCACAACTCTTCTTGTCTTTACTCAGTAGTGTCTACTGCATCAAATCTGCTCTTGAGATGATCTTTAAATAAATTCAGGTGGGATATATTCAAGGTCATATTTTGGTTCTCATGGATTTTTTTCCATTTTCTTCAGCTTCAGCCTGAACTTGCATAAAAGCAATTGATGGTATGTTCCACAGGTGGTCTCTCTTTGTTTTGGCTGGATGATAATTAGCTTTTCCCACAGATGTAGTTAATTGGATATCTGCGTATTCCATCTGGTAAGATCTATGTGTATGGTTACTTTTTATGTTGTTTCAAAAAGCTATTTGCAATGAGTAAGTCACTGGTCTTGTAAAATTCTAATATGCAATCTCCAGCATCGTTTCTGTCAACCAGACCACATTTCCCAACTACTGATCTTTCCTCTTTGTTGCCAACCTTTGCATTCCAATCACCAGTAATTATCAAAATATCTTGATGGCATCTTTGATTAACTTCAGACTGAAGAAGTTGATAATATTCTTCAATTTCATTACCACTGGCCTTAGTGGCTGGTACATAAATTTGAATAACAGTAGTATTAACTGGTCTTCCTTGTAGGTGTATGGATATTATCCTATCATAGACAATATTATCCATACACCTACAAGGAAGACGAGTTAATGCTATAAGTCGGAACCGACTCCACGGCACATAACCAACCAACCATAGACAGTACTGCACTTCAGGACAGAGCTAGAAATGTCTATATATATGTTAAAAATTCATCAACGGTACACCAAAATATACCAAATTTACTCTCTGAAAATTTCTTTTAAAATCAAAGCCCTCCTTATCTCCTATTAGTAGCAAACATACTGATACATCTTCAAGCAATCAAAGCCTTTAGACTTAAAAGGGGAGCCAAATAGGTCATTTAAATTTTTCTAGTAGCCACATTAAAAAGGTAAAAAGAGGCAAAACTATTTTAAATAATACAAATTTTAAGAAAAATTATATTCACTTTAATAAAAAGAATTCTAAACTATAATTAATATCAAAATTATTGTGGAGACATTTAAGTTTTTTCTTCTTACAAATTCTTTGAGTTCAGTGTGTATTTTACACTTACGGTTCATTGCAATTTGGACTAGTCACATTTCAAGGACTCACTAGGAACCTGAGTACCTTGACCTTTATCCATGAGCACTAGTTCCCTACGCATCAGTATCTTCATCTTGATCATTAACGGTCCTAAGCACTTTACATACATTAATCATTTAATTGTCACAAACCTTTAGGAAGGTACTATGATTAACTGCTACTGTATAGATAAGAAAATTACCACTCAGTGAGGTTAAATAAATAATCTACCTAAGAGCACCTGGCTCATGTGTGATGGAGCCTGGATTAGAACCGGAAACACATGGAGGAAGCAGGATACCTGATGTTACACTGAGGGAATGGCAATTGAGAGGAAATGAAGTGTGAGTTGTCGAATGTAAAACTGATGATCTGCTCTGTAAAACTTCACTTAATTCACAATCTAACTCTAGAGCCTGGGCCTCTAAAGAACTAGGCTTTAGAAACTCTGAAAAAAACCAAATTGCTCTTGCTAAAAAGATCAGAGCACTTTATAAATATGAAACTTAGGTTCCTTAGGAGGAGCAATCCAACATAGCCAATGTTTCTAGGCCCTTGCTTGGGATCCTGAAGTTCCTAAGATACATTTTCCCAGCTTCTAAGTGGTAGAATTATGCATCTCAGGAAAGTGACAAACGGATACCTTTTAATTATATATAAAGTCCCCAAAACAAAGAATGACCAAATAGATGTCATAATAAGTGTGCTTTTCTGTCAATCTTTCCACTTTAGGAAATGGAAGCACTTCTTACCTTCAGAAGATACAGGATAGGGTGGCTCCTCATTGAAGGAGACCCACTCCGACTGGTGGGTAGCAATCACATGGTCCAAGGTCGTCATGCTAGGAAGGTGCTGGTCATCTTCACACTGCTAGCCTCAGGTGGACCCCAGAGTAATATCTGGGGGAAGAGGTGCAGTGAACTTGGCCTGGGTCTGTCACAGGTGTCTTGCAGAGGACAGCACTCAGCAAGTAGATAAATTAGCCCTCTTGTCTTTGGTTAATCAGCTAAGCAGAAACCTGTTTTAAAAACATCAAAATGTAAAAAGATAACTATACCCAATCCGCAAAAGTCTACGGCTTTCAATGCTGCTCGGAACCGGATCTGAGATGGTTTCTAAAACATTTTACTTCCCTCTGCTTCTGTCTTCCCCCAAGTTCTCATACTCAAATATCCGCCTTAAGAATCAAAATCTCTGGATCAGTTTCATATCTGACTTGTAAGTAACACACAAATTTTAGCAATAAAATTCCCTAATCTGCACAAATATTGATTTTTAGAAATACTTTTATTTATGATACAATGCTATGATTGTATAAAAGATATTAAAATTTGTACATATTTTCACTGTCTTTTGCCAGGTGGTGAAATAAAAGCATGTTCTTTGCCACTCAATCTGTTTAGTTTCTTGCCTTAGGCAGGTAGCTGTTTGCAGACCTGATTTTAATCTTTGGCAGAAACCCAACAAACTGCAGATGGTATCTCCAAGTATGGTTTACAAAATAAAAAAAAAACATACAAACAAAGTCACCTAACCCTCTGGGAACAAGGAGATATGGAATATCTGCTTTTGTGAAAATCTAAATGAAAGGATACACATTTTCAATCTAGGCCAATTCCAATTAGTATATAAAACCTAGGCTTTAGGAGCCCTGATACTATGGCCCTTGGTCACCCTTCAGGTCTGGAACTGAACTCATCCCCAAGCTCAATTTTCACCCAAGCAATAGATAGCAAACACTAATAAGGTATACACAAACACCGCAGAATGGTCAACCATTCGAGAGCAAAAGGGCAGCACCAACCTAAGACCAAAATTCAGAAGAGTGGAAAAACAAGAAGGTGTGGAGACAAGAAACACAGGGAGGAAGTAGGATAAGTGATGCTACATTAGGGAAGTATAATTGAGATGCAATGAGGTGTCTGATTTGTTGAATGTAAAACTGATGATCTGCTCTGCAAAACTTCACTCAATCCACAATAAAAAGTTTTGTTGATATTTAAAAATCGGTCACTGTAGGACAAACACTAGACTGCTAACTAAAAAATCAGTGGTTCAAATCCATCAGCCACTCCTCATAAATTCCACAAAATTGCTATGAATTGGAATCAACTCAACAGCACTTAACAACAAGCATTCATGCTATGTGTATACAGAAGGATACTTGATTTATAATTTGTTTACTGCCTTTTTACAACTTGAAAAAAAACCAATATAAGTTAATAAGATCTGAATGAATATGCTTCTACAAAAGAACTACTATCCACCTTGAACAGTATCCATTCTTATTAACTGGATGTTCACAGTACTCATTTTTGTTCCTAGAAAAACTGAACTCACAGCTTTCTGAATGGAACACCATAAAAAGAATCTGTTAAAGAAATTTTACTACAGGTTATTTATTATCTACAATAAATAATTTATACCTTGTTGTTAAGTGCCGTCGAGTTGGTTCCGACCCATAGTGACCCTGTACAGGGTTTCTGAGGGTGTAAATCTTTACAGGAGTAGAAAGCCTCATCTTTCTCCCGCGGAGCGGCTGGTAGTTTCGAACCGCTAACCTTAAGGTTCGCAGTCCGATTTGTAACCACTACGCTACCAGAGCTCCTTTAATTTATACCTAGAGTCCAACTATTTAAAATTTCCAAGGTGTGTGTGTGTGATTAAAATGATTGGTTTCATTGTAAGACACTTCCTAAAAAAACAATTAATGCTTACATGTCGAAACACATTTTCATACTATATATACTTCATTTGATTAAATAACTACTTCAGTTGCCTAGGGCAGGCATTGCTGTAATTCTTTTCCAGATCAGGAAATTAGGGCTGAGACAAGTCAAGTGACTTATCCCACACTTTTGGTATTTCCAGAACTTTGTTTTAATTTCATTTTTCCACGAACCTTTGGAAGGCCCCTCATACTTCCTCCAGGCTTCTAAATAGAAGAATCTATGTATCCCAGGAAAATGACAGACTTTTATTTATTTTTTTGGTAATAAGATAGCACCCCAAGAATGACTGAGCAGAAGCCATTGCAAGTAGACATGATAGTTGCTCCTACCTAAGATGGGGTTGACGTAACCTTGAAACCTAGGTCTTCTGGCGTCAAAGCACATTAAACTTTAAGTCCAAGCCACAAGAAGTACTAGAAAATATATATAGATTACCACCCAACTAAAACACTTTACAAACATAAATTACTTAATTTAGTGTCTTAGGAAACTCCCCCATGTGGCTGTCTGCCAGGATAGCCAAGCAGTATAGAGGATGGAGAGCCCAGCAATCTCTTCTCCAAGCCCCTCTCCTGAGAGTTTTCTTACTGCAAGACCAGATGTGCACAAACAGCCTGGAGAGTGCAGTGCCCACAACCCAGGTCTCACCAGAGCACAATGTAGAGCCCACAAACCCAAAGAGAGATTCCCACTGGCTTCTGTCCACCAAGCCTCTCTCAAGCCCTATACAATGGTAGTACCCCTCAGTGAAGGTCAAGGTAAGATCGTAAAACTGAAGAGTCAGATCCCTTCTCTCACCACAACGGCTGCACATAAAACAGACAAAGAAAGGAAAAGGCACAAAACAAGTCCATGTGCTGACACATGCAGCGTCCTAACTCAATGTGGGAAACAGCCTGCTGATCCCATGATGGTGATGAAATACCAAGTGAGTGGGGGAAGGGATAAGGGAAGGAAAGAAGCTAATAGGTGAGGGTAATAGATAAAGCACCTTGAAATTTGGGACCTAGAAGGTTTGAAAAACCAATAGTTCAGTTCCCTAATTTTATAAATGGGAAAATACAAACCCAAGAAAAGCAAGTGTAGCAATTAAAGATTGAGATTATGGGCCCAGGTTTAGACTATCTGGGTTGGGGCTCATTATTTAACCTCTTTTAGGCCTTTCTGAGCTGTATAGCAAGAATAATAACACAACTCACTTCCTACTTCTAAGGCTTAAGTGAGAGAATGCACAGCAAGTGCATAGTACTGGATATAGCAATCACAATGCTAAAACAATGGCAGGTGAACTTACAGACGACTTTCTGTGTGACAGGACAGATTCCTAACTTTTGATAAACGTCAGCTAGAGCCATCATTGCTGTTTTTAAATCCCTTGACCAAGGTAACTTAGATGATGTTTAGTGGAAGTCCTGAAATTAGAGTGAAGATTTCATGAAACCACTCATTCCTGTGATTTACAGACTAGTTTTACAGGTTTTCCTTTTTAGTGTCTTTAAAACCAATACTCCTAGATGCTAAGTGGAGTCCAGGTCAATTCTGCAACCTTCTATTTACAGGTACAGGAATATTTAGTCTGAGAAACCAAGACCATTACTCAGACAGTATGAATGAAATAAAGAATATCCCCCCAACTTCCCTGTCAAAAAAATTCAATCTTTACCTTGAGTTTGGTGCTCAAAGGCAGATCCAGACACAGCCTGGTTACAGAAAATAACAACCTCCAGAAAAAATGGGTGGAACAAATTTATTACAGGCAACCGCATATCATAGCTCTGTAAAACTGAGTATAGGTATTTGCCAAGAAAGAGGCCACATCCAATAAGTCATAAGACGCTAGATCCTAAGGAGTGCTACGCCAGCAGCTGAAATCCACAGACAAACCCAGTAATTGTGAGGCTACACTCATACTGGAATTGGTTTCTTGGTGAAAACCTCACCCCATTTTTAGAATGTGAATCATAAACAGATGTTTAGATCACCACAAATAAGTAGTGACTCAAAATTATCAACTGGACTGACCAAGAGATAGTTACAAATTCATTAAAGTCTCTGAATTACCTTTTCAGAGAAATAACTCCTTCTCAGCATCCCGCATACACCAAAACTTGGGAGTGGAGAATGTTGTTGTTGTTAGGTGCCGCTGAGTCAGTTTCAACCCATAGCGACCCTGTACAGGGATGCTGAGGAGCTGCTGGTGGGTTTGAATCACCAACCTTGCAGTTAATAATTCAGCTGGTTAATAACACAGGTTGACTAATAACAACAAAACTAGATTTGTCTATGTCAATCATTTAATACATGTTTATGAGCCTGGTATGTCTGAAAAAGCACCAGCACCCTTTGAGGTGGTGACCCTACAAGCAGCAGCTAATAACAAAGCAGTTGGGGAGAGGCCACATGAAACAAGAGCAAATGAAACAAGTCTAAGACTAACCAGCTGCTGAAGGCCACTGAAGGCCAGAAAAGCTAGGACTGTTTATCCAAAGGAAGACTTGCCAGGGCAAGAACCATAAAGGTTCTTTATCAGGCACATTTCTTGGATTTGATGGATGTCCTTGGGATTTGAAGGATTGGCTTCTGGATCACTGGAGTGGAAGTGTGCGGAAGAGCATATGTGAAGATTAAGAAGCAGGCTTTCACGAGGGTTGTTTCTGGTCAGTGAAAAGGCCACTCCATGGAAGAAATGTCTATTGGGAAAATGTAGTGAGGAGGATATAGGAACTTTAAAATTTTAAGAAAAGTTCAGTGTGAAATGGGTAACGACTGACTGAAGGTTTAAATGTAGAGAGTGATCCAAGAAATCAGGTGTTGAAGAGAGATAAGGGCTCCTCAAACTTTGCCAAGCAGAAACTTGTGAAACAAATTATCAAGCACAAAAGTACCACAAGGCATTCAGCAAAGTCAGGGTCTGGCATCGGGAGCAAGTACTGGGTTAATCTGTGCCAGGTCAATCCTATATCCTGAGGGTACAAGGAGTGGTTGAAAGAGCTTACAGTCAACTGTGGGATGGTATGACAGAGACATAAAACAACAATCTGTGATCTCTTCCTATTCTGACCAACTAGCCACATAAAATAGTACCTTGTACTCTTGCTATTCTGACCA